ACGTGCTGGCCCTCTGCCAAAAGGCCGAAAGCGACATGACAGAAGGTGACAAGGTAGGGCATGTCCTGAAAGGGATTGCCGACGACGCGTTCAATCTGCTGCTGTGCAAGAACTGTTCCACCGTGGACGCAATCATCAAAGAGTGTCGTCAGTTTGAGCAAGTAAAATGTCGCCGCACTCTGCAAACATTCGCCAGACTTCCAAACACCGCTGCAACATCGACTTGTGAGGACCAGTCCGCACCACAACGACTGTCGCCGCCGGAAGACCTGACACGCATTGTTCGTCGCGAAATGGAAGCAATGGCGCCCTTGGCGTTGAATTCGCGCAGTACCAATACCACTCCTGTTACTGTTCCTCTTGTTCAAGCCACCGTGCGCCAGGAGCTTGAAAACATCGGAGCGCATTCCGTGTGCCATGTCACCACGCCCAGAGTGAGCGAACGCCCTTTTGCGATGCCCTCCTCCGACCAACGGTTTTCTCCACGTACTCGAAACCCGGCTGAGTGGCGAATTGCAGATGACCGACCGCCTTATATGTTTCAACTGCCACCGCGCTGAACATATTGCTGGTTACTGCCGCAACACATGGTCCTCGGCACCACGTGCAACGAACAATATGACCCGTTTCCGCGGTACCGCCTGCACGTTTTCACCTGCTGAAGAGTCCCATGCCGTCGACCATTCTTAGAACACATGATACAGCCGCTCGCCTTCACCATGTGGGCACCAGCTTCGTTCTCCGCAAATACGTCGCCCATTGCCCCGTTCGTCGCAGCTACGGTGCTTCTCGTCCCCCGTGGCTTCCGGCCGCATCGTCTCGGAAAACAGAAATGCAGCCCCCGGAGGTGGTGCTGCAATGACGACTTCCGCAGCAAATCCTCTCTCCGTTCCTACCAGACGAAGTGTAATAGACGTTCAAGTAGATGGCATACCTGTACAAGCACTTGTAGACACCGGCGCAAGCATTTCGGTCATGAGTTCAAGCCTACGCACACGTTTAAAGAAAGTTCTGCCATCAGCGGCTGCACAAATGCTTCGTGTGGCCGACGGCGGCACGCCGATGGTTCTCGGTCTGTGCACTGCCCGCTTAAGTATAAAGGACCACACTGCTTCTGTCATTTTACCCGCAATTGACCACTGCCCTTATGACGTTATCCTAGGCCTGGACTTCTTGTCGAATCACTCTGCTCTTATAGATTGTGCTACCGGCGTCCTTCAGCTAGAACTGCCTCAGATAGTCGCTGAACACCACACTGCCCCGCCGGGCCTGTGCTCTCTTCAGGATGTGCGACTGTCACCTCAGGCAGCCACCTACGTCATTTTGACCACACAGCCACAGGTTCCCGATGGTCAATATGTTCTCCTTCCTCTCGCCGACGTCCTCTTGGAGCGCAACATCGCCATTCCCCATATGCTTGTGACTGTCACTGATAACTGTACCTCGCTCCCACTTCTCAATTTCAGCTTTTGCCCTCAAGTGCTTCCTCGTGGCATGTTCTTGGCCAGCGTATCCAATGCTGACGAATTCGAAATAGTGGCTCTCACCACCGAGATTGATTTACTTCAGTCTCCTGTATCTAACAGCATCTGTTCTATGCCGAGTTGTTTCTTGAAGATGATTGCACCAGACCTCAATCCTGCGCAAGCCAACGACATCCATCACCTTCTCGTGTCGTATACCGACATTTTTGATTTCGATGACAGACCTCTAGGGCAAACATCCACCGTTCAGCACCGTGTAAACACTGGTGACGCCAGTCCCATTCGCCGACGCCCCTATCGTGTCTTCCACACCGAGCGCAGAGTCATCCAAGCGGAAGTTGACAAAATGCTCAACAAAGGAGTCATAGAACCATCACGTAGTCCTTTGACTTCCCCTGTCGTCCTTGTGAAGAAAATGGACGATATCTGGCGCTTCTGCGTTGACTATCGCCACCTTAACAAGATCACACAAAAGGACGTATACCCACTACCGCGCATCGATGACGCGTTGAACTGCCTGCACGACGCTACATACTTCTCGTCTATTGATCTTCGGTCCGGCTACTGGCAGATTTCTGTCGTTGAGATGGACCGCGAGAAGACGGCCTTTATTACACCGGATGGTTTATACCAGTTTAAGGTGATGCCTTTTGGACTATGCAACGCCCCTGCCACATTCGAACGAAATATGGACTCTCTCTTGCGTGGTTATAGTAAATCGTCTACTTGTCTCTGTTATCTAGACGATGTGATAGTCTTTTCATCTACTTTCGATAGCCACCTGACCCATCTCGCTGCAATTCTTGCAGTCTTCAGAACAGCTGGGCTACAATTAAACTCCAAGAAATGTCGATTTGGCCGCCGTCAGATTACCATTCTGGGCCATCTTGTAAACGCCGATAGCGTCCAACCAGATCCTGAAAAGATCCGCGCCGTTCGTAGTTTTTCGGTGCCGTTCTACATCCGATGTCCGGAACTTCATCGGCTTATGTTCCTACTTTTGTCGTTTTGTGAAAAACTTTGCCGACATTGCCAGGCCACTCACAGATTTGCTGAAAAAGGATACCACATTTTCATGGGGCCTTGAGCAGGCTCAAGCGTTCACCGCTCTCATCGGCTGCTTAACTACGCCCCCCATACTTGCCCACTTTAATCCTTCTGCTGCCACAGAAGTTCGCACCGACGCCAGTGGCCACGGTATTGGCGCAGTTCTTGCTCAGCGGCACCACTGCAGACAGTGCGTGATAGCTTACGCCAGTCGCCTGCTTTCTCCCCCCTGAGAGGAATTATTCCATCATTGAGAGAGAGTGTTTAGCTTTAGTTTGGGCCGTCGCCAATTTCCGGCCATAATTATATGGTCGCATGTTCTCCGTCGTTACGGACCACTACGCCCTCTGCTGGCTGACTTCTCTGAAGGACCCGACTGGACGTCTGGGTCGCTGGGCTTTGAGGCTTCAGAAATTTTCGTTTACCGTCAACTACAAGTCTGGCCGTTTGCACAAGGACGCAGACTCTCTTTCTCGTCATCCGGTGGACCCTCCTGAACCCGTTGCGACTGACCTGGAGAGCAGCATGATGGCGTTAACTGATATCAGCGATATGCGCATTGAACAACGACGGAATGAGTCAGTGCGCACTATCATCGATGCCATCCAGTCTGACAGCCATGACGCCGAATCCCGTATGTTCGTATTGAATGACGGCATCCTCTACCACCGCATCGTCAGCACTGAAGGCCCTGAGCTTCCGCTTGTCATTCCCCGTCACCTACGGCCTGCCATACTTGAACAACTTTACGACGCACCATGAGCGGGACACATCGGTGTTTCCGGCACATACAACCGCGTGCGACGTCGGTTTTTCTGGCCAGGTCTGTACCGTGCCGTGCGTCGATATGTCGCCACTTGCGACCTCTGCCAGCGCCGGAAAAGACCTTCTTTGCTGCCAGCTGGACAGCTTCACCCAATCGAAGTCCCCTCTAAACCATTTCATCGCGTGGGACTCGACCTTTTTGGCCCTCTTCTGACGACGACACTGGGAAATAAATGGATCGCCGCCGCCACAGATCATTTATTTATTTATTTGATACTGTCAACCCCGTGCTTCTGGTCATTACAGGGAGGGTGTCACAAAGTACATAACGTTCGCACAAAAAAGAAAAATTCAATTATGCGACCCGTTACGCGATAACAAAGGCCATGCCAACCAGTTCCACCACTGACGTCGCAGATTTTCTTCTTCATGACGTCATCTTACACCACGGTGCCCCCCCCGACAGCTGCTTACAGACCGCGGCTGCTCTTTCCTGTCCAAAGAGGTCGACGACCTGCTTCGATCGTGTGCCACAGCGCATAAGCTATATACCACCTACCACCCACAAACTAATTGCCTAACTGAACATCTGAACCGCATGCTCACAGAGATGCTTTCGATGTACGTCTCCGAAGATCATCGTGATTGGGACACCACGTTGGCCTATGCGACTTTCACATATAATTCATCTCAACATCACACCACGGGATCTCACCTTTTAATCTTTTGTACGGTCGTGACCCCATATTGCCATTTGAAACTACCTTACCTCTTAAGCTATCTGCTTGCGAGTACGCTCGCGAAGCCATTGACAGAGCTCACATGGCTCGTCAAGTTGCCCAGTCCCATCTCACGAGGTCACAGGATATGCAAAAAGTCCGCTACGACCACCGGCATCGTAACGTAAATTTTGCCCCAGGTGACCGCGTGCTCCTCTGGTCACCGTGTCGCCATGTAGGTCTCTCCGAAAAACTTTTGTCTCGATACCCTATTAGTCTTAGGACCCTACTTAGTATTGCGTCAAGTTAGCAACATCAACTACGAGATAGTGCCGTTGCACTCCAATACGTCACCAAGTTCGTCACTCGTTGACATTGTTCATGTTTCCCACATGAAACCCTATTTCTGTCGTACTTCTTCGGACAAGCGCCGAGACGGCGCTCCAATGCCTGGGGGTCCTGTTACGAAGTAAAGGAAGATGAAGGACAGAATCAGCTGACAGGCGCGCGAGTGTGCCAATCAGCCATTGTGATTCTTGCCTGAAGTTGTTCCTCTGTAATTGCATTTATACAGAAGTCACTGACCCCATAACAATACGATGCCACCCCATGTAATGACTGGTTGCCAGCTGACCACTCGACAACAAAAGAGTGTTCTACACTTGCAGTCATGGCTGCAAGTGGTGCTGGCTAACATTCCCAGGATTACACAAAACATAAATACTCAAGAAAGTGGATAACATAAATACCCAATAAAGACTCTGCCATTGTACCCAAATTGAGAATGCACAGGGCACGTCCGAAGGTCATGGGTTCTGTTTCTATTAGAGGCAATCTGATTTTTTTATCAACTTCGATTCCTTTCCATTATGTCGTAGTAACTATACTGCAGCAAAAACATACAAGTACTGTCCCTTATACTTTTCAAGCGTCATTGTCTGTTGGTTTTATCGGATATGTCGAAGGAATGCTAACTTTTACATACCCTGTCGACACTGATCTTGCAGAAGCGCGTCTCCACGTGCTTCTGGGCGAGAATGGCCAGGTGCTTGTCGACAATCTTGCAGCGGAAGGTGCTCTCGCGGAAGAAGTGGACCACCACGTCTTCGCTGGCCTTGCACGCCTCGAAGAATTCGGGCTCGGACGTGAGCTCCGTGTACTCGCCGTGTCCCTTCTCAAGCCACTCGCGCTTCTTTTTCTCATACTTCTTCATTGCATCCAGGCGCTTTTGGCGCAGACCTGCAGCCAGTATGTGCGGAACACTTCTATAATCGAATACTGAAACGAAATGACCTTGGTCGGGAGTGCAACTGAATAAAGAGAGAGAGAGAGAGAGAGGGAAGCATAATACGGAAAAGCAGGAATGTTAATTGGAAAATAAGGAATGCAGGTGTAGAAAATGCTGGTGTAGGGTCTGTTCGATTTGCCTGCACCACATGAACCAGTTCACGAGGTCCTGCACCTAGCTACTCGTTTCGACGGTGCAGCAATGATGACCTCTGAACCATGCCATTCGTTTCAAAACGTGCAGGAGAGGTGCAGCGTTGGTTTATGATTTTCGTGCACCTCCAACACTGATGGTGCTGGCTTGGTGCAGCCATGCGTGCAGCTGAGCAGACGACGCAGTCCTTCAGCGTAGGCGCCGCACCCGCCTCCAGTAACTGTGTCTATTTTGCCAAGATGTTTGCGCCTCAAACTATTCACATGTGCGGTGTGCCATGAATCAGTGTTAGTTGGATGGTGTAAATTAAGCAAACAGAAATAGTGTCTGCACCTTGTCGGCACCTCGTCATTCATTTCAGGTGTCGCACTAAGTGTGCACCGCTTCACTCCCGCTGCATAATTTCCGAACTTCTCGTGCAGAGCTGTGAACCACTTCCAATTGGTGCAGGTGAATCGTACTGACCCGTAATAAGGATCAGCAACACAATACCCATGACAAACTCAAAAAACCTAAACAACCACAGAAAAATGAACACAACTTTTGTGAAGGACATACTTGCAACCCTTGTATAAAATAGAAGTGCTTGGCAGATAGTAAATCCTAACCAAAACGTACACGTGGAAAAGTAAAAAAAAAAGTTGAGCTCGGGTGCAACTTCTTTAACATTCCTTGAAATTTTTATAGCCAGAGCTTTTCATTAACACTGCTGTACAGCCGTATATTCAAATGTATTTTCAAAATCTTACCCCGCTTCAAGTCCCGAAACCAGAATAAGAAACACCCCAAGGGAGGGCTCTGGAAATTTAAACCACCCGAGGTTTTTTAACCTTTTAGGATGCCACATATGAAGAACTGTCCGTAAACATTTAAAATCAACAATATAATGTTATTTCAATGAGCTTTACATGATGTTGCAGTGAAAATAATGTCCTAATACTTTAATTTATGTGTGTTAGAGAAATCATTCCTACTTGCTGTGTAATTGAATATCTATTCCGAAGTCACTCATGTTCTCTTTTTGCATGACTCAAGTGAAACCTCAGGAAAGAAATATGATGCAAATTTTTTTCCGGTTATTTCTAAGTTCAGCGAATAAAAATACCTCTGTCATGGGTCGCGAGAAGTGTCACGTCACACTACTCGTCGAATGAGGTAGTGCCTTTAGTAAACCGATCATATGCATTAGCATACTGTGAAATTAAGTTAAATTAAGACATTTATTATGGAGGAGGTTCCATTCATCTACCTTGCTCTTTCTTGGCACTCATTCGACACAAAGCAAATGCAACTGAAGTACACAAATGTGTACATAGTGTGTCAAAAGGTTAACATGCACCTAAACTTAAGTACACAGGCAGCTAGCATACTGCCCACACTAAATGTGACCGCTGACACTAGGATACAAAGAGCGACCTATGGCTCATTAGTCGAGTCTTAACAACCCTTCCTCAAGGGGTCAATGAAACGATGCCACCGTCCCGAACATACCTTCGAGGTCTTCATCAGCCATCTTGTCGAGTTTTTCTATCTCAGCGTCTATTTGCTCTTCAATCACTTTGGATGCCTCCAAGAGATTCCTGGCCACAGCTGCTTGAATGTTGGCCGCCATCTGTTGACGATCGAAGAAAATGAAGTATTTTGAATAAGCACCTAAATTTAGAGGGGGGGGGGGTTCTGTTTTGTTTTTTTAATAGAAAAACCCCGAAGTTCTTTGGCATGATTTCAAAGAACCTCTAGTATTTCTCTGACACGAAATCTCTGCATGTTGAAATGCACAGATTATTGAGTGACCTGATAATGATAGACTTGAACGAAGCAGAAAGTGGGCCAAGCTTAAAAAGAAACGCACGCAAGGAAACAATCAAAAGGGGAAAAAAGAAAATAAATCGAAAGTGTTAACACGGCAACGTACTCTATTAGGTTATCTTAGGCCCTATATAACAACGTTTTCGTATAACATGGAAGCCGCTTGACAAAATGCACACTCTGCATTTTGGAACGATACCTGCTACACAAATTCACGAAAAACACGAACACATGTGGCACACAAACAAGTCAAAGGAGCACCTTGAGAATGTTATATGATGCGCCAACACGCAGCACTGAATAAATACGGAATCAGCGAAACCAAAACCAGCAGCAGCAGTCGCAACAACAAACAGCATGTTTCTCAGATAATATGCAGAGAAAACATGCACAGAAAACATGCAATCACTGCACCGATTCTGGTAATACAACTACACGGGGCATACTTGCGATAACAATCGAGATTGAAACAGTCCTAACTTGTTGACCACGATTGTTGACTTGGTTCTTCGGCCGGCATAAAGGCAGCCCATCGCGATTGAAAAACTCTACCCCAAAGACCGCGACTAACTGGCTCTCCCATAAACAATCACAACGCGACCGTTATAGAAGCTGAACCTGGTGATGTTAAGACCACGATCATATCTGCGCCAATGAAATGTCCGAAAACAAAATTATTGAAAAGAAAGAAGGCACCGTGCATTTCGGGTCGTACGCGCTTCAAGACAACTCGCGTGGGTTAAAATTACAATTTACTGCTTGGTTTAAAAATAAAACATCGGTACAAGGGGGTATTGCAACCACCGCGACATATATGGGCATCGTTTTTCACATGCGTCCCAACTTGGGCGTGGGCGACTCGCGTTTTGGCGTGTGACAGGTGCTTCCAAAGAACGAGTGACAAACATGAACGAAGTAAGTACGCTGCTAACGACAGCAACGCGGCGTACACTAAACAAAAAATTTGGGTCTTACCTTGACACGGTTAACGAAAAGTTGGCCCGATATATTCAATAAACCTCGAAACTTTCACGTCTCTTGTCGATGAATTCGAAGTGACGGCCTTCGTTGTCGCTACGGTCAATAAACTCGGCCTGGCTCGGCTACAGCATAGAGAAAATGGCTACAAACAGCTCACACTTTGGTTTTGGCATGACTGTGGCTAAACAACGTTAAACTTTAGTTATGAACTTTGAGGCATTATTACTAGCAAAAATTACAACATAAAATTGTAAAAACTGAAATATTTGATTTATACAAGACAATAACTTTAATTTTGTAATTTAGACATTTTGTCCTTAGAGACCTAAAACTTTTGGCAGTTATTATCTTGGAGGCTATGTTTCTTTAGGCGTAGTAGTCGGTGTTTTCAAACGCGGCGCTAGCGTTTTGTTAATCCCGCGGCACCAACGTAAGCACGATTTTCAAACATTTACTGATGTGGATTTTCCGAAAACTGAACAAACCAAGCCCTATACGACGCTTTAGGCATCAGCTAGAAGCTATATATATTTTTTTCCTGCAGGGTTCGTACAGGTTTCCAAAGCAAAAATTAAGGGACATTTAAGGACTTTCCAGGACCTGTTCCAAGTTTTCAAGGACTCAAAGCGGCATGCTAAGTGACACACCTTCGCCTTCTGCAGGGGAACCCTGCGCACGCTTATGGTGATGACTGGCTTTCTGTCGATGGTTAATGGCGCAATTCTAACCTTAACGGCTCCGCCTCTTACGTTGGATCTGTTACGTTTAAAGGGGCCCTGAAACGCGTTTTCAGGTAACCAGAGAATGAATTCACTGAAAAAGCGTATTGCCTCACGGATTCAACGCCGCAAAAATTTTAAGAATCCGTCCAGTGCGAGTGGACTTACAAAGATTTGTCGCATGCTGCATTCTCTCGTCCCGAAGAAAACGCTGGAAGCTAAGCAGGGAGAAATAGAAGGGCCACAGAAAAACGTCACACGCACCTCGTGGCCTTGACCACTCCCCCCCCCCCCCCCCCCCCATTTTTTTTTTTTTTCTTCTTCGAATGCGCCGCTAAAACACTAAAGCGCCGCTTCTCGGTGTGATCGCGCGCGTAAGCGTGGACAATTCGCGGCCTCCCACGGCGATCTTTGTAACGAGCGAGCGCGCCATGTTCAAATCAGTCAAAGGCTGATAGATGGGTAATCAACGTGTGGTTTTTGAGCATGTTCCGCCATTTGTCAAGAGTCAAGAGAGGAGAAAGCAATATCTAGCTGAGTTTGATAATTTATTGTGAATTCCAGGCCACGTGCTGTGCTATAACATTTGGCTTGCGTGTTGTCGGCAGCCTCTACTACCGATCGGCAGCGTTTTCTGACCATGCTGAAAAAGTGTTGCAGGGCCCCTTAAATTAATTAAATTTAAAAGTTCTGACACGAATAGAAATGGGTATCGCGAAAGGCAGCGGTGAAAAATAAAGGCGTACGTGAAAGTGAATTAACGGTCGCAATTCAGAGGGAACTTGAGTATTAATCGTAATGGGCGTTAGCCCTAAACACAGACGATGGACAAGAAAACGCGGTCCGTTTATCTCGCCCGCTTTTCTTGTGTGTTGACATATATAATAGTTATTTCGTCGTTGTTTTGCTCTCGGAATCATGGAGAATGATATGTTCCAACTAGCTCAACTCGCTTAAAACGCAGTGGTGGACGGCACACGACCAAAATAGAAGCGAAGCAACTCGTCATGGTGACAGTTATCGTTCTAAGCGAACTAGGGACAGGACAAAAGGAAGCATATGTGGTGGATGCCTGAATAGAGTTGTGACGAAAAAAAAAAAAAACGTCCTTACAGATATGCGGGCAGCGTACTGAAACAGCATTTACTTTACAGCCCGTTTGAACAGTCAGTAAACATACTTACCTGCTCCAATAGCTCAGTTGATACGCGCCAAGCGCAGTGGCGCCAAGTCAACTCGATCATGCTCGTTTTCCCAGAGTTAGATCCCCTCCTTTTCCTATCACTGTCTCGCCTCTTCCTTTCTTCCTTTCTCTCAAACTGTGGGGAAAGATAAAAAACAAAAACCGCGGAATGTGGACACAAAAGAGCGGCGTCAACACGTGCGCTTAACAACTTAACGTTTATGAAAAAAAAATCTATAGGAAACTTCGATGACACGTGTCAGCTACCATCTGGTGCGATGACGTACCATAAAATGCTGAGCAAGTGTCTTCCCCCTCCCCTACGGAGAAGGATAATCCGACCAGATTCGAGAAGGAAGCGCTCGCTCGGTCTGGGACCAGCAATTGGCGCTGATTTGACGGTTATTTCCAATATCTCGAAAAAGACGGGACCGTCGCTCGGCTTTTTACGTTAGTTATCTACGATCGCCCTCTCAATAAATTGATTAGAGCTTTTGAAACTTTACCGACGGTCGAGCGATGCAAACAGCTGATATAGATTAACTAGAGGGCTACCTCAGATAACTATATGTGGGCGCATGTTGGTGGTACCCGAAACGTAATCGCCTATTTCACCTAAGACATATGGGCGCCGCCATATTGGGCCATGCCGATGTTTTGTTTTACATGCGAAGCATGTTATACTAGGGGCTAGTCATGCGCCGTCGCCGTCCACAGCCTCCCCTCCTCCTCCACCAGCCATCTGTGCATCTCTTCCTCCTCTCAACACAGCGCGCGCTGCGCTCGCTTCTCCCCTCCACGCGCCGCGCGACCTTTAGTTTTACGTGCGCCAGCTGTATGCTAACGCGCGCAGGCCGGGGCCGGCGCTCGCTATAAATAACCGAGTGTCGGGGCGCGCCGCGCTTCGTCCTTCGAATTAGCAAAGACGATGTCTTTGCAAATTTCGACCTTCGATTGCTGCAACCAGACCCACCCACCCTTCACTTTACGGACCATAAAGCCATCTTGCTCAAAATACCCAAAGCGTCTCATCAATAAACATCGTCTTTCGCAGCATATGTGCGTGTTCACTCGTGTTCACTCTTAACAGCACACGCATGTCGCAAATTACAAACTACATTTATCGCAGTTCAACATATATGCTCCGCATGCTAACCAGTGTTCCCGCTCGGGAAACTGCGGTTATTTTTTTTTTGTATATCGTGACGTGAATTAACAAAACCACGGAACATCTTATGCACCAACCACACCATTTCCACGCGTATGCGCCTACCATATCACGTACAGTTCGTTTACCATGTTACAGATTCAAAACACAAAGGTTAACAGTGCAATGACTGTGGCACTGAAACTCATCTGTAAAATAGGTCAATATTTGGTTTGGTTAGCGATAATCGTTCAATCGTAAGCTAGAGGCCGTGTTAGTCGCGTCCCTTGCGGTGTCCTCATTTTTCATGCTTTCCCTTTATGACGGACCAACTCCTCCAGCAATACGTCCTTCTTGGGTAGAGGGATGCTCGTCTTCTGGAATTGGCGATCGTTAATAGGGGATCTTCTCCAGAAGTGTACTTCACTGGGATAGATTGTCACACATTTGTAAAATGTGCAAACAGCGCGTATAGGAGGACGCAACACGACCGAAAGGAACGCACAGGGTGAACGCTCGTCCTATGTGTTCTTCGCGGTTGTGTATACTTCTTCGCGCTCTTTACAACTTTTACGAAGGGATCTCTCGTTTATGAAGAATTCAATTCCTCCTGTTACGTGCTCCTTTATCGCACGACGAATCTACAGCAATCGATTGAGTCTATAACTGAGCAGAGTGGTTTCTTGGATTATAATCGCTGCTGTGTAATTGCGAAGAATCCACCGTGTTAGCTTAATTAGCACGTACGGGGGCGCGGGTTCTGTTTCTCGCAGTGTCGGCGCAAGGATTTTTCAAATGGGCGGGTGGTGCAGCCACGGCAAGCGACTTCTTTGTCGGGGAACTGAATTTTTTTTGTGTTTTGACTAAGCTTGCTCTATCTTGCTCATAGGAAGGGCGCTAGTGAAAGCTTTAGGGCGCGTTCACACTTGAGAAGATAAGTGGAAACTAAAACGCCAGAGCGGCCGGAAAACCATGACCACGCGCGTCGAAGATGTTCACATTTGTTCTGCACCACACCGCCGTCGCTACCTTGACGATTATGCTTTTCTGAGAAGCAAAGTTCGTACTGAATTCTAGCTACTCACGCAAAGTACTGGAAAGAAACAGCTCACACCTTTTCAAACGTTGTTTCGGTCGATACTCCAGCAGAAACGACCCGAATGAACGCAGCGGTGGCGGCGGATTCAACCGGCTGTACACAAAAGAGAGACACGTTGGGGACGCCGACTCGCTGCAGCTGCACCGTCTAATTCCAGAGTTATCGGCGATCGTAGTCCAAGTCAGGCTCTCGATGAACGCGTCCTCATTGAGGCCGTGAAGCTTCGTCGTGCTGCACGGCTACAGCTTGCGATTAGAGCCGATCCAAGCCACCACCGACGCCTTTGCCGCCATGCTAGGTTGGCTAGACTAGCCACCCTAGCCATGCTAAATCTGTGGCTAGCTTCTTAGATCACGTGGTTTTAGCGCAGTCAAGGCCATGAATCGGAAAGAGGGTCTGCTTGGGCGCGGCGGAAAAATTGGTCTATACCTCTCCCCTTTCTACCAGGGTACGGGCCCGGGAACACGTCTATACCAAGGCCGTGAGAAAGAGAAGCGAGGGTGAGGAGGATATAGGTGAGGGTGAAGATGAGGAAAAGACAACAGCTCCATTGCTTTTACAACACCCGCACCACTAGTGCTTCCTCAATTTGCTCGCTTTTTAACGTTTCCCCAAATCTTAGCACACGGGCCTTTTACAGAGCGTATGGTAGTTCCTTTAGCGAAATGATCATATATAACAGAATGTTGCAAAAAAGTTACATGGAGACGCATTGATTACGCAGGAGGTTCCGTGCATCTAAAGCTCAATTCATCTTGCTCTTATTTGGTGCTTAATCTACATGACTAGCAAAAAGAAGTTTTGTATGGCACCCCTATGCCCATGTTTTCCAACACCGGACATTGTCCCTAGAACTTCGTAGATTCATAAAGACGCCCTCGTTTTTATTCTTCTTTTGTTTTCAACACAGCAGTCCAGAATGTATAGGTATCTACGTATAAGTTTATAAGTTTGCACGCCT